GAGAGAGAGAGAGAGGGAGAGAGAGAGAGAAAGGAGGAAGAGGAGGAGGAGGAAGAGGAGGAGGAGGAGGAGGAGGAGGAGAATAAGAATAAGAAGAAGAAGAAGAAGAAGAAGATCCTAGCACAAACATTTTATGTTAATCTAATATCTATTTTTTTTCCTTCTATCTTTAACCAACATCTGGGAGTTAGAGAGGTCACCAATGTCACCATCATTAATATTCGGATTCATATTTGAGGATGGAAGGTTCACTCAGTACATAAACATTGTTGACAATTTTGTACTCAATCCTTTTTTTTTTATACTGAGGATTGCACTGCCCAGGTGCACTTTACAGTTGAGTCACATACCCAGCCCTTTTTGTTTTTTATTTTGAGAAAATGTCTCACTAAGTTGCTGAGGGCCTTGCTAAGTAGTTGAGGCTGGCTCTGCACTTGTGATCCTCCTGCCTCAGCCTCTTAAGCCATTGGTATTATAGTTGTATGCCACAATGTCCCACATTCTATGCTTTTTAAGTTACATGATACTCCATTTTTTTGTATATTTTAAATTAGAAGCTTTTATATTTGAACAGAATATATTTATTTAAAATTTATGAATTATGCTTTAAATTATTACCAAAAGGAAATACAATATGTTGTCTGGGAAAAACTGAAAACTATAGAGAAAGGATATTTTCAGGCTGCAAAATTTCTTGTTAGTTATTTCATCCTATTTTCTCATTCAATAATTTAAAATATGCTAAATATATTTGATTTCATTATGTTTAAATGTCATTTCTTTAAATTTCATAAACTGTAACATTTATCTTTTGTATTTAATAAATGATCACATGAATCACTGTTAATATCTGCATTTACACTTTCAGAATTCCTATTATTGCTGAATTTTTTTATCCTAGATATAATAAATATCCAATTTAAAATAAATGTAAAGAATCACAGCTGTTGCTATATAAGAAATCAAGAAGAAAGACAGCTAAATAAACTGCACTCAAATCAGCAAAGCCATGACCTTGATTGAGACTTTGAACACCTCTTCAATCTGTGTTTAAAATGCATCCTTTTTAGGAGGAAGAAGAGTTTCTGCTATACGGGAAAAAGCAGGCAATTACCAGTATATCCTGTTACAAAGAAGGGTGTTAAGACATAGCAAAGTCAATCAATTTGAGCAGTTATGGCAAAGGCAGAGAATAAGTAAACTCTGGGGACATCTTTGAGTATGAAGTTTGGTTCTTCTTTTTAAGAGATATATCTTGGAAAATCACCTAAATTGAGCCTTGGAATCTTCATCAAGAAAACAAGACACATGTAATTCCCAGGATTGTCTTGAGAATTAGATATATTGGAGAAATATCTGAGATGAATTAAATTTAAGAAATTTATTTGAGCAAGAAAAGTATTAGAACTGGGCAGCATTAAGGAGAGAAGTTGTTTCAGAATCCCCCACCCACCACATCTGCAGGTTATGTTAATAGCCAGAGAAAGGGAACAGACATATAGAAAGAACCTCATTAGCGTCATCCACATTTATCTTGAATGGGTAAAGAGTGTGGAGGCATTTGCTTATATGAATGTGAGCCAATCAGTTGGTGACCAGTGGTTGGATAAAGCTCCCCTGCTGTAATTGGCTGAGACTCAACTGTTTATTATAAAATGTACTCAATTTAGCAGTATATATGCTGTATTAGATTGTAGTTTGCTACCTACCTCTGGAGGCAACATTGAGCAGAATTGTACAACCCATGTACAGAAATAGAATAAGGCCAAACTTACCAGTTTATTATGTAACATGTGAGCTTGGAGTTTTGAAAAAGATTACATGACAGGTTTGATTGCTCAATTCATTTTAGTAAACAAAGATGTTAACATTAAAGTATATCATATAATTAATGGAATGATAGTTTTTTCCAATAACTTAAATTATAGCTTCATATATTTCAACATGTTAAGAGGAGGAAAAATGCTAAAAATAGTGATGAAATTGTTTATATAACGTATGTAAACATCAAAATTGATTATTGGCTCAAATATAGATTTGGTTTTATATCAGATTTTGAATTAATAAAATTATAATTCATCATTTTTTATCATTTGCCCAATAATATTAACCAACTTTTAAATTTTAATGAGACTGATTGCAATAGAACCTTAGTTGATAACAGAGTTGCTGCAAAAAAAGGGGGGGATTTCTTTTTGATTTAAGGAAACTTTTAAATTATCAAGCTGTCTTGAACCAGAGATATATTTATTAAATTAAAAGATAAATTAAAAATGCATACTTATTCACTATTTAAATGCACATTAGTGGTTTAGTCCATTTGGGCTGCTGTAGCAAAAATATCATAAATAGGGTGGCTTTTAAGCAATAAATATTTATTTTTCACAGTCCTGGAAGCCACTCAGCTCAAGTTCAAAGCAAGGCAGATCCTGTGTCTGGTGCAAGGTTTTTCCTCATAAATTGTAACTTCTACCTTGTGTTCACAGCAGATAGAATGTTCAAAGCAGCCCAATGAGGACTCTTGAATAAGCCACTAATCCCAAGCATGAGATCTCCATCTTGATGATCTAATATTTTCCCAAAGTTCTGCCTCTTAAGTTCATTATCTTGAGGGTTAGGATATTCACATGTGAATTTTAAGGGGACATAAATATTCAAATATTAGCACCAACATTGTTATGTATGTTTAAAAATGTAATATGAAGTAAAACATTTAAAATTATTCTTTGTGAAATAAAATAAAAATAAACTTTAACATACTTCTAGAATGAACATAGTTCCAATGTAGAAATTATAGACCCATATGCTTCAATTGTATTTTCAATTTATGTGAATCATAAAATTTAATTATTTAAATGTAGATGAATTTAGAGAACCATTTATAAAAGTATAATACCAAAATATTAAATTCTTAAAGGTCTCACTAAATAACTACTGTTCCTCTCAAAGTCTTTTTGAAGAAAAAAATTAGTCTTAGTGATATGTAAAACAGTCAAAATAGCTGAGCATAGAGATGTTGAAATGAATGGTAAAACTACAGCCATATTTTATGTAGGTGTTTTTAATGAACCACAGTTGCCTAAAATGTGGATCATGAAAGAGTATTATTTGTGTGCAAATTCTCTACCTCAATTGTTTCATTTCCCTGACTTTAAAATAAAATAGGCTAAAGTAAAATAAATACAAAATAACAAATATGTAGTTAAAACTAGTGTCTGATATATTTATTTAATTAAATCAGATTTAAAAGCAATAATGATTTGGCCTGAACTTCTATCCTCAAACATTCATATATAGATATATATATATATATATATATATATATATATATACACACACACACACACATACACATACATACATACCTACACATACATACATACCTACACACATATATATGATTGGTTCATAAATACATCTGCTGTTTCTTTGTTTTAAATATTTTTAAAAATAGAACACATAGAGATAAACATTTGTCAGAAATGTTTCTCAGTAAAAGAAAAAGAAATTCAGCAGCAACAAAAAGTGAATAGAGTAAAATCATTCTATTTCTGAGTTAGTCTCTAGAAATGCACTCAAATAAAACATTTGGAATGTCAAGAATATATCATCTTGACACAGTTAAATCCCAAAGTGTGCAAATCAAGAAGTTGTTTATGAGCTTTTATTATGAGTGTTTAGCTATTAAAAATGTTTCTAGTTTTATTGGTGGTAATAAAACACAATTTGCATGGTGTTGTGAGCTTTTAAAAATTAAGTGTCAATATGTTGGGCTTTTTTTTTCACTTGACAAAAATTAAGTAATAATTCAGTATCCAGATGGTCTATGTACAGAAACCTGCTTATCTACAAAAGACAGGTTTCTATAGTTAGGCTATAAATGTAGTGAAATATCTATTAGTCTTTTTTAGAAACAACAAATGCATCAAGTTGACTAGTTTTTAAAATTAAATATGTGAAACATAATTCCTAATAGGAAAAAGGGTACTAAATATACTTACTTGGAAGGAACAAGCAGTATAAATGTTGTATAGTTGGAGACACTTTAAACCTTGCTTAAACTACCATATTGTTGGTGCTTATGGAGTTAATGGCTACAGGCTGGATGTTGGTAGAAGTGCTGTCTGAGGGTCCAGGTCCTTTAGCAGATAAAGAGCAAATATTTTGATAATTGCAATGTGCCAGGTTAAGTTATTCCATATTAGCATAGAATGTTAAAATTATTCTTCTGATTGTAGTAGACCTTATCTGGAATAAGAATACATATCACTGGTTATATATAATCATATCCAAAACTAAATGGAACATTTACTTCTGATACATATAAAATTGTACTATGTACAACTTTTAAGTCTTTAAACATTTCCTAGTTTGTTTGAAGCATTTAATAAATATCTATGGAAAACATATAATCATTTTTTTCTGATAACCATGTATTAAGAGAAGTAAAACATATATGCTCTATTTTATTTTCCAAAGGTACTCTTGTGATTTGTTTAATAAAACATCAAACATTTTAAAGCATTTCAAGCTTATTTATTTCTTTGGCTTGTATCAATTTAAACAGTAATCTTCGTTTTATTAGTTTGCTATTTGAAGTAAGTAAATCTACTTATTTTTTTACTTCCATAAATTTAGGCATATTCTCATTGATTTTTTTATAGTAATAACTTTAGATTTAATAGAATCTAATAATACATACACATATCCTGCAAAATAATTTCTCATATATAAAAGGAGTGGCCACCTTCTTGAATTCATACTTATGGAATATGCATATGAAAATTAATATTAAATTAAAATTATGCCATAATGATTGTGTTTCAGAAAGCACATTGCTCATAAAAATATTGACACTAAAATGAGCTACATATTAGTGTCTTGATCCTCTTTTAGGTTTAAAAAGCATGGCCTACATCTGTAAATATTTCTACAACATCCATAAAATTATTTTAAAATTCATTAATAAACTAAACTGGTACTACCTTTCTTCCTAACCAAAGAATTAAATTTATGAGCTGTGCCTTTGAAGCTGAAAAGATTGCCAGCACTGCCCTTGCTTCTTTGACACTCTGCATGAAACACAGTTAATAACCTCCCATGTAAGCTTGGTGAAACAGTGAATTGATACTAATTATACTAACTTTGGGATAGAAGGTGACCTTGGCTTTAGCTGGAACTTTCAGCCAGGACAATAAATAAGACCAAATGCCACAAAGCATGACTTTTGAAAAGGGTCTAATACAATTTATTAACTTTGGGGAGTTTGAAGGATTGCAATAAGTGCTTAGATAATTGTAATATTTTAAAACATCTCTTGCTTCAGTAATAGTTTCTTATTTCTCTAGATTCAAATAATCTCCTACTCACTTTCTATAGTCATTTAAATTAATCAGTGGCCAGAAAATTAAAAACTACTTGCTGCAAAGTATGTATAAGATGATTATAAGGGCAAGAATACAGATTTTTCTGAGTGCTTCTGAAATATGTATATAATATTTATAATAATATCAGTATTACAACTGCTTCTGTTGAATCTCTGACAACACAGATTCTTAAAGAAATGCCCTTATAAAATGATTGAGAAAAATGCCTAAAAAATAAAATTGCCTCAGGAAGTCCACAGGTTTAAACCATCATCACCACCACCACCACCACAACAAAAAACTGTAGAAACAAACAATGTGTAGCAGTTTCAGTTATAAATGCAAGTTTAGCATTGTTAAAAAAAAGACAGGATTAGTAACATTACTATAAATGCTAACAGGTGAGTGGGAACAGCAATTAAACTTCTTTAACCAATATTGTTTAAATAATTACATTAGTGTAAATGGAATTATGATCACAGTGTTGAGTATAATAAATGTAAGTATGTAATTTAAGTCTAGTCATTTTTCATCATAGAAAAAGAGATAAACTCAAAATATTTCCATGGATATTTTATTCAAGTCACTAATAAGCAAATTAGGTTTAGCAATCAATGTTTAAATGGTACAAGTGAAAGCAACTATTAACTATATTTAGGAATTATTTTGAGAAATATATTTGTTAAAAAGTAGTTGAACCAAGTAGAATGTCTTAGAGAGATTTCATAATAAAAAAAAATAAGAAATGCTATCCTGCAGTAGTCGAGTTAGAATAGATAAGGTGTAATTGTCTTAATATTTTTTCCCTAAAACCATATTATTTGAATATTGATTAAAACACCATCCACTTCCACAGTGTACTTTTCAAGATATTAGGAGAAAACTGATGAAAGACTCAAAGGGAGTAGCCAAAGAAAGTTTAATAAAAAGTTTTACCAGAGGCATAAGAAAAGTTTTTGGAACTAATAAGAGATGGAGAAGTACAAGAAAACTAGCTAGAGCCATATGCTATTACCACATTAGGCCTATGGGGCTAAAGGAAGTGAGTCAGGTTGTCTTAACCAAAGATAGGACTGGAGCCAGAAAGGTATAGCTTGAAAAGGGCAGTAATCAAGGAAGGACACAGTAAGTCTAAGAATCTCAGCAAGATGAGGACACTGAAGGAAGGAAGATTAAATATCTGGCCTCTACTTCTGGCTTCTAGTATCTTTCTGTTAAATGAGTCTTTCTTAAAATCAGAAGTAAAGGAATCTGACTGAAGCAATGTAGTCAAGCCAGCACCCAGACTAACAAAGACAACACAAAGCATGAAGGGTGGATATGAGGACCAACTTGGAACGAAGAGTAGAGACATTTGGAATATTTTACCTAATTGGGATATTTTACCTAATTGTTCTTTCAGAGTGTTATGTTAGTCAACCTTTTATCACTGTGACCAAAATACATGACAGTAAAAACGTAAAGGAAGAAAAGTTTGTTTTGGTTTATGGTTTCAGAGGTGAGTGTCCACAGTTGGCCAAATCCATGGCCCTGGGCCTGAAATGAAACAGAACATCATGGCAGAAAAACACACTGCCAGGAAGCAGAAGGAAGAGAAGAATGGCCAGGCACAGGATATAATCCCCAAGGGCATGCCCCTGGTGACCTGCTTTCTTCAAACAGGCCTCCCTACCTATAGTTTCTACCACCTTCCAGTGGTCCATTAAAATTATTTATCCATCAAATGGATTAATCCACTGATGAGGATAGATAACTCATGATTCAATCATTTTCTAAAAGCTTTAACTCTGGATGCGGCTGCTTTGGGGACCAATCCTTCAGACTTTGGGTTATGTTCCATGTCCAAACTCTTAACAGGTGGTTAAATATCAGATTTTATTTTAGTTTTAGATTTCTTTCATAGGCATACATATTACAAATCTATAATAGAAAACTGGCAATGAAAATAGTAATGGTGGTAAATAACAACCTTACAATTTACTTTAACATATAATTTCCCTTTGCTGCCTATAGTTGGAAAAAGATAAATATTCTGGATGGCAGAGGGCTGATTATGAAACTTGATATCTGGTTGCTTTTTTTATTAGATACAAATAAATCTGAAAATTCTATTTTTGTCATTTTAATAACCCACTTCCAAGAGGAAAAATGTGAATCTTTTGTGAGGCATACGCATACGATTCATTGAGTAGTGAGAGATTTCTCACTTAAAAATTTCTCCATCTACTAGTGTGGAAGCAAATTATTTCTTTTCATTTGGAGTAAATCCTTGGAGAATCTTAGCTATCCGGAGGGACGGGGAGGTTCTAAAAATGAGATAGCAGTAAGTTAATATAAACTGATTCAGATATGTCCTATTAATTTTCCATTAAGGAATTTTAGTGTCACATAGACAAATAATTTTTAGTCCTGAGATAATAGCTTTTCAGAAAGCAAAATCATTTTCTTGAGTGAAGATTTTAGCAACAGCAATCACAGTCCTTAATAATATAATATGATTTATCTGCTTTTGATGTTTCTAAAGCATATGTGTGTTATTAATTCAGTTACATTGGCAGATAGGAAACATAAAATAAAAACAATTTAGCTTGCTTTAAGTTGGTAGTGAATCTGTTTATCTGTTACAGTTTGTGAGTCTAGAATTCTACCACTAAAAGGCCAAAGAGTTTAGTTCAGAGTGAAAGTTTTAGAAAAACTTTTTTTTAAATTTTTAATAGTAAGAATGATACACCAACTTCCCAATACTTTTGGTATTATATCTACCACCCTTGAGAGTTAACTCAAATTGAGCCTATATCTTGAAATGCAGTTTTGGGAAACCAAAAAGTAAATCTTCATATATCTTTCTCTTGATCTTCCCAAGTTAAATTCAGATATATTTCATCTTAACTTCAAATTAAAATAAAAGATTATGCAAATGAGAGGGAATTTCTAAACTTCTCTTTATTTTACTACCTCATATTTCTTTTTTTTATGTGTGTGTGCTGAATATTGAAACTAGGACTTAGCAAATGCTAAGCAAATTTTCTCCAGACCCTTATAGCTATAGTTCTCACTTCTCTGTCCAATAATTGGCAACATATCAAAGTTGGATTTTTCTATTATAATACAGATTTTTTAAAGTAAAGATGGAGATTTTAAAGTATCTCTTAAAACAAAACTATCCTTTATTAAACCAAAATAGCATGAACCACAATATAAGAGCATAGTTATTGATTCACTGGATTAACAATGAGTTCCACATCAGAACTCATAGTGAGAGTTGCAGGGGGCACAGATAATTTGCATCATCTCAATTTGGAATTTGAGTATGTGATCTTGGGCACAGCAATTCCTTTCTCACTGTTTCCTTAAGGAACATGAATTCCAGGTTATTTTTCAATCTTCAATTCTATAAAATAGAATTTGTACATCTGACTCCATTAGCACTTAAGGGATCAGTATAGTTTCTAGGTTTTTCTATTAGAACTTGTGGTCCAATTTCAAATATTCCCTTTACCATTTGAATAATTTTAATAATTTCTTAGCATAATTCAACATTTCAACTAATTTATGTTAGAAAATTCTGTAAAACTTAAAAATGACAGCTGAATGATTGGTTGTCAACCACAAGGCGTGCCTTTTGTCACTATTTCAGAGCAATATGCCCATCCTTTCTCCCATTGCTTCATTTGTATACTTCCTTCCCTTGTTTTTCTTTTTTCCACAGTCCCAAATAGCTAAACATACTCTATCTAAAAACTTTCACACTCACATCATTATAGTAAAATAAATATTGAGTTCTAGCTGTGATGTTCATAGCAGTAATATATATGGTCCATTTTTTACATTTCTATAACTGAGTCCCTATCTCTTGCAGATAAACCATATTATAGCTACAGG